GCCCCCCGCGCCCGCGGACAGGCCTGGAGAGCGGGCTTCCCTCCGCGCGGCTGGCCGGGCTCGGGTGGGAGAGGCGGAGGGGAACCGGCCGGCGCGGGGGCGTGTCCGCGCTCCCTAGCCTTCACGTAAAAAGTGATGTCGCGGTGGGAAGGGAGCGCGCGTGTGATGGCGCCAGAAAAGGACTTTTGCGTTAATACCCCGAACACAGCGAGCCCAGGAGCTTCCCGGTAAGTGCTGTGCCGGCGGCCCCGGCTGGTGTGAGAGAGAGGACTCCCCAGTCTTTCCGCGGACGGAAGGGAGCCCGTCAGCTCCTGAGGCCTGTTTACTGTAAAACGTGAGGAAAGGGAATTGTCCCAGCTCGTCAGCCCCGGAAGCCACTCTTACACTCTAACCGAGACCGCAGGTAAAAGCTGCGCTTGACAGTAAGTGAATTCCTCCGATTACTTGGAGAGTGATCATAGTTTGCAAAATTGAAAATACTGTGAATAAAAGCAACCAGGGCAGCTTTCCAAAAACAGAGAAAAGGAAACTGTCATAGCCGTGCTCTGATTTGACCTTGACATCTTATCAGCTCTTTTTATTAAAGATGGAAATAGAAAGGAACAGTTCCTGGTTTCCGTAGCCAGGCTTGCTAAACCCCTCTTAAGCTGTAATATTACCAGAAAATCAAAAGAAGCGAGGAGAATCAGGTGGTCCCTTAATGCAGTGCAGTTTTCTCCTAGGCAATTATCACCCTTGTAGTTGGTCTGTGTGGTACCTTTCCACTCCAAATGTACCTCTTGGCTGTTGGAATTCACTAGTAACTGAGCTAATGCTGAGCACCTACTGTGAGCTACTCCCTGAGGATACAGCCTACAGCCAAAGAGGCAGTCCTTTGAGGAAGCTCACTCCAGTGAGCGAATAAATAGGTAAAATATATAGTTAATGTGCCGGTAGAAAGTGCTCATGAAAAGGAATGTCACACGTGTGAGATTGGGATGGTAAAATTTTCCATAGGATGGTATCACTGGGGACGTGCCTTTAGAGTGGGGAAGTGAATACTTGGGAAAAGTGTTTCAAGCAGAGAACGCAAACAACCAAAGATGCCTGATGTATTCATAGAATTGCATGAAGGCCAGTTTGACTGGAGCTGCTTAAGGGATGGGAAGGTCAGATGTGGTTAGGTCAGAAAGTTTGGGAATGTGGGACATGATACAACAGAATATGTATGACTTTGTTGACTTCTGGATCTCAGTGCTTTGCCTTTCACTTTGGGAGTGGAATTATTTGTCAGCCCAAGCTTTCATCACAAGGTACCATAGACTAGGTGCCTAAGACAGTACACGTTTATTTTTTCACAGGCTGAACAGTCCTACATAGTGGTGCTGGCATGATTGGGTTCAGGTGAGGACTCTGGCTTACAGACACCTTCTCCATGAGTCCTTGCGTATTAGAGTGAGCTCTGGCTCTTCTTTCTTTTCTCATGAAGTCACCAGGTCTCTTGGATCAAGGCTGCATCCATATGAACTCTTTTAACCTTAAGGTCACTTAAGAGGGTTATCTCCAGGAGAGTCATGGAGGGGTGTAGAACATCGGCATACGAATATTGGAGTGCCACAGCTTAGTCCATAAGAGATGGCAAGTGGTTGGGATTCCAGTAGAGGGATGACATGACCTGACAGGTTGTGTGTCTCATAATGTTTCGGGAAGGTGGTCCCATAAGATCTTAATAAAGTTGGAAGAATCCTATGTCCTAGTTCTTGTACTGTATTTTTTCTGTTTAGATACACAGAAACAATTGTTTTAGATTTGTGTAAGGTATTCATTGTAGTACCATGCTGTACAAGTTTGTGGGCTAGCAGCAATAGACAATATCATGTAGACTAGGTGTACAGTAGGCTTTACCATCTAGGTCCGCGTAAGCACACTGAATGTTAGTCCCGTGACAGAATTACCTAGCTATATATTTTGCATATCCTTATCTGCAAACAATACATGTTTGTATTTAAAGGTTGAATTTCACTGCATGTTTTAGATAAGCAGGAGAGTAAGTGGTGGAGCAAAGAAAGAAATGAGATATGCTAAAAGCTATTGCAGCAGTCCAGAAAGTGGTAGTTTGCGATTGACAATAGTGTGGTAACAATAGAGGAAGAGGTAAGTGGTTAAGTTCTAGAGAGGCAGAATTTACTGATGGTATGGAATGGGAAAGTAAGAATCCAAGGGTTTTTGGCTTTAAGAACTGGACAAATAGTGTTACTATTTTCTGAAATGGAGAAGGTGAAAAAAGTATGTTTGGGTGAGAAAAATAGTAATACACGCTCAATCTGAGATGTCTTTTGGAGGAAACACACAAATGTATAGTAATAGTAATCACTCAATTACACACTGCGAAGTTCTAAGAGAGGAATATGATCCAATGAGAATATAAGATAGAGACCAGACTTAGGAAAGAGGTAACTTTTCAGTAGAATTCTGCAGGACACTTAGGACTAAACTAACTTGTAAGGGGATTCAAACAAGGGAAATACTGTGAACAAAAGCCCTCCTGGAGTGAACATGGCATATCTAAGGAGCTTAAAGTCAATTTGGTAAAAGCATAGGGTTAAGGAGCAAGTGTATTAAGAGGTGAATCTGTCTTTATTTTAAAAGTCACATAATTCCATTAAGTTTCTAGGAATATGTAATTGCATATGGTCACATTTCCATTTATTAAATTCTTCAGTTATATTAGATGGAGAAGGAAGAATAAGCAATTTCATTAATCTGGTCATCTGATAATAGTGGTAATGGTATGAAGTGTGATCGAAAAATACAATGAATGTTTAACTTTTTAAAAAAAAAGTAGAGTAAAAGACACATTGTTACTAATTCCCCTCAAAATATTCCTGCTTGCTTGTTATTCCCCTCAGAATATTCCCACTTGCTTTGAAAACACTTATTCCATTTTTCTTCCCACTTTCTGAAGTCCTCTTTCACAAATGGTTTTAGTTGCCCTGTCGTGGCTCCCTCAATGTTCTGAATTGATTGAAAACCTTTAGTTTTCATGGTTATTTTGGCTTTGAAGAAGAGCCATAGGTTACACAATGTCAGATCAGGTGGATGAGGATGCACTAATGTTTTTAGGAACCTGCCTTTTATTCGATGGCACTCAGAAGTAGCACTCACTATATTTTTGATCACAGTTCATAAATACACTTACAAAAGAGAATTTCTACAACTGCTTCAGGAAGTGGTAAGAAAAATAAAGATAAGTGTGTTTGAAGAAAGGGGAAATATTTTCAGGGAGATTAGTGGCAATGTATTTTTTACTCTAAAAATTTAAATATACACTATGTTTTGATCACCCTGTATAGCTAACATTTCTAGAGACTTATATCCTAGATAGTGGGCTAAGTTGAACTCTCATAATCTTAATTCTCACAGCAACACAATGAAGAAAATTAAAGAATTACCCCATTTTGCAAAAGAAAAACTTGATTAAGTGAAAAAATAATTCTGACATGTAATAATTAAAGTTCTATAAAGGTCATTTGAAAGGAGTGGCACATGAGATGTAAAGTAGATGAAGAAGGCATTGGGAAGTAGGATCAGCTATGTTAAATTGGGCCAAGGGACTGAGAAAGGTGAGCATAGAATATGTATTGAATTTAGCAGCACATATTAGCCAACATTATGGTAGAGCAGTAAGGGAAGTGGATACAAAAGTTCTGGGAAAAATAATCAAAATATGCATGTGAAACTTGTGGAAACACTATCAGGAGTTCTCCCTTGGCTATCTGTTAAAAGTCATTTGGTCGTCAGATTTACTGGGTGGCAATTTTGAGACCAACCATAAAAAGAACAGATTCATTGTCAGTTTGAAGATGCAGGACCCCACTTACTTCCCTATTTTTCCCTTTGCCAAAAGGCCAGCCTTTGAAAAAAAAAAAAAGTATGGATTGTATTCAGATTCATTTCATGAATGCTAAAATATCCAAAAAGAAACATAAGTTTTGGTAGAGGTACAGTGCCTCATAGGTACAGTGTAAGAAAATGTGAAGTACAAATACATGTAGAACCTTTAAAATCAGTAGTTTTTATTTTTGTTTTGGATTGGTTTTTGCTATTGTTGGTTTAACAGT